TGACGTTCAGATTCCTACGTGCTGAAGTAGGAAAGGATTCTTTACCGGACGGGCTGGTGGCTCCGGCTGGGTTGCCTTATCCACAGCCTCCAGAGAGTGAATGTACTCACGTAGTGCCGCGCAAAAGGCCCGCCAGATCGTCTGAGGGCTCAGCCAAGGGAGCCTGACCCACACCCTCCAGACCCTCTGAGGGCTCAGGCAGGGGAGCCTCAGTCACACCCTCCAGACCCTCTGAGGGCTCAGCCAGGGGAGCCTGAGCCTGAGCCACAGCCTCCAGACCCTGTGGGGGCTCAGCCAGGGGAGCCTCAGTCACACCCTCCAGACCCTCTGGGGGGCTCAGCCAGGGGAGACTCAGCCACACCCTCCAGACCCACTGAGGACTCAGCCAGGGGGAACCTGACCCACACCCTCCAGACCCTCTGAGGGCTCAGCCAGGGGAGACTCAGCCACACCCTCCAGACCCTCTGAGGGCTCAGCCAGGGAGCCTGAGCCTGAGCCACACCCTCCAGACCCTCTGGAGGCTCAGCCAGGGGAGCCTCAGTCACACCCTCCAGACCCTCTGGGGGCTCAGCCAGGGGAGCCTCAGTCACACCCTCCAGACCCTCTGGGGTTCAGCCAGGGGAGCCTGACCCACACCCTCCAGACCCACTGAGGGCTCAGTCAGGGGAGCCTCAGTCACACCCTCCAGACCCTCTGAGGGCTCAGCCAGGGGAGCCTGACCCACACCCTCCAGACCCACTGAAGGCTCAGCCAGGGGAGCCTGACCCACACCCTCCAGACCCACTGTGGGCTCAGCCAGAGGAGCCTCAGCCTCCAGACCCTCTGAGGGCTCAGCCAGGGGAGCCTGACCCACACCCTCCAGACCCTCTGAGGGTTCAGCCAGGGGAGACTCAGCCACACCCTCCAGACCCTCTGAGGACTCAGCCAGGGGAGCCTGACCCACACCCTCCAGACCCTCTGGGGGCTCAGCCAGGGGAGTCTGAGCCACACCCTCCTGACCCTCTGAGGATGAGCCAGGGGAGTCTGAGTCTTTTCTTCTATATCTCTCTGGGGGGCTCATCAGGGGAGCCTCATTCATACCCTTCAGACCCTCTGGGGGGCTCAGCCAGGGGGAGCCTCAGTTACACTCTCCAGACCCTCTGGGGTTTCAGTCGGGGGGAGCCTGAGCTATACCCTTCAAATCCTCTGAGGTCTCAGTCATGGGAGCTCATTCTCGTCTTCAGAGTATTGGAGAGTAGCAAGGTGAGTCCTTTCTACTCTCTCTTAAC